TGGTAAAAAATCAAGAAGGGTAAGAGCAAAGGCAAGGTCATCAGGTTGCATTTGTATCTCTTCAACATAAAAATTAATAACTTCAAATATAGGTATCGTTTAAATGACATCTTAATATGTGCATCTAAAAAAGAAAAGCATCAAAAATGTAAAAGCTGCATTTATATCTCTTCAACATAAGGATTAATAACTTCAAATATAGGCATTGTTTAAATGAAGTCTTAATATGCACATCTAAAAAAGAAAAGCATCAAAAATGTAAAAGCTGAAAGTGCATCTAAATATGTAAAGCTTTTTAAAATGAGACAAAACAAAATGAATTATTCATATTATCAGATTATTTTCATAACAGCACTCTCAAAACATTAAATAAAATTCTAACATACATGTTCTTAGCTTTAAGCTGTCAGCTTTCTATTATTTTAACACCTCAAAGTTAACATTTAAATTTGCACCTAGAAAAGCATAAACTTCTACCCTAAACATCTTTTTATTTTTGAAAATGACTTGTAAAATCTAAAACTAAGAAATATACTAAATTTTGCCAAATAAACTTTAAAATTAAAGCTTATATTCCATATGTATACCTCATTTCAATGAATTACCTAATGATCTTTAGCACTGTGAAATTTTGAAACAAGCAGCAAAATAAAATAAATACTGGAATTCTAATTTTTCTAGCTGTTTTTGGCCCCAAAGGCTCTCCAAAGCCAAGAACCTGTCAGGTTTCAATATATCAAGTAACAATAGGGAAGGGAAGGGAACAATATAACGATTAGAATCTCCTAATTGGCCTCCCTTGCCTCCAGTCTCTCCCCTCTCCAATAAGCACAGTAAGGCATTTGTGCAACATGAGAACAAAAATCCAGTCTTACCACAGTCAAATCATTAAACCTACAGTAAAAATGAAGTCTATATGATAACAAAATGAACTATTTGAATAGGAATAAAAGGATTATTACTCACTAGTACTAAATAGCTAAGTTCATTTTTATGATTTAATTTATTTCTTGTAGCACATATTAGAAAAATTACCTCCCACAGTTCAGAAGCAAGACAATGAACTAAAGTGCTTTTTATTGAATACTAGCATTTTTTCCAAGAAATTCTGACTTAAGAGACAGACTGTTTATGTAACCTATTTTTAGAAAGTATACTCCTATATTTAAGCCACTTTGATTTTTTTTCATTGCATTCACTGAAAGCCTTTATGTTACGTATAAATGCATTAAATGAACACTTTACTAACTTAACTAAGGATCCAGAAGGCTGTGGGGGGGGGGAAGTAGGAGAGTTATTTCCATTGTTTTTATTCTGGGTAAGATGCCCAAATCGAACAGTTTTCTTATCCTACACAAACTTTTTCATCATCCCAAAGTCTTGGCTAAACAACAGTAAACACTGTGTCATGGCTTTTGTAAAATGTTTATATACAGGGATACAAACAAACCTTTCCAGTCTCAATCAAGAGTCATTGACGTATTATTTACATATCTTTTAACAAATATTATTACCATTATGACTTTTAACACTTTATTCACAAAGTTTATTCTGCTCTATGTTAATTAAGGGTATATTTTAACCTTGTACAATGCATAAAGGAATTAAATTGAGAACACTCTTTACTTGAAATGAACTCTTAATGGAAAGCAGAAATTGTCTCTTGCTTCTTCTTGTATCCCTCTTGCTTACCAAAGTGCCTGAAGTAAATACTTAATGTATAGTAAGGAGCAAGAAAGTGGCACAGTGTAGACCTCCAGCCTTAGTATTCAAATATGGCTTTAGACACCTACTAGATGTAGGATTCTGGCCAAGTGACTTAACCCTAACTGCCTCAAAAATAGACAGATGAATGCATAAAGAGATCATAGATAGATGTGCAGTGATTGAAGAAACCAAACAACTTTACAGTAATGAACAATTTCGTATGTATGGTTTTTAATAGTTAATGGCTTGATCTCTTTAAAAAGTGCAGTATGTGATCAACAGCATGTGCTATTTTTGTTGCCAGGCACACAAAACTGTACAGAAAATAGTGACAGACAAAACAGCCAAAGTTCCTGGAGAGACTGTGATATATTCTTGATGAGGAACAGAAAAACTAAGTCCAACAGAATGTAATACATTACCAGAACAACTATTCATATAGTTTTAAGATGTAATGTCTTTCATACACATTACCCCATTTGACGGCATTACTGTACAAACACAACCCAAAGTCAAATCGTATGATATAGTGCCAAGAGCAATGGCTCTGGAATCAAAGGTCCTGGGTTCAAATCCCGTTTCAGCCTGCTTCCTCATCTGTAAAATAGGGATAAAACACCACCAATCTCACAGGACTGCTGTGAAGATCAAATGAGATAAAAATGTAACACTATCTGTAAACCTCAGATACCATCTAGCCCAGACCACATCATTTTAATAATAGCTAACAATAGCTGACATGTATATAGCTAATATGTATATATGTATGTATGTATGCATACATATATGGCCTGCTGTATGTACAAAGCACTGTACTAAGCACTTTACAGATATTATTTCACTTGAGCCTCACAATAACCCTATAAGTACAAATGAGTAGACTCCAAAGAGGTAAAGTAATTTGCCCAAGGTCAAACAGCGAGAGTCTGATTTGAACCTAGGTTTTTCACGAAACTTATTTTGAGGACAAAAAGAAGTCCTCAAATTGGAAAAGGTGGGAAGTAACTAGTTTAGATCATCAATTCCTCATTTACATACACTGTCTGAAGACTCATCATCCCCTTTAGATGTCCTCCAGCTTATCAATGTCCATCTCTGAATCTGACCTCTTCTCTCTACTTACAATCATAAGGACCCTAATTTAGGCCTTCATCACCTCTCACCTACCTAGACTATGTAAGAGCCTTCTGACAGATTTCCTGCATCCATTCTCTCCCCACTCATTTAATCCATCCTCCACACAGGTTCCAAATTTATATTCCTAAAGGGCAAATGTGATTGTTACTCTCTGGCTCAAGAAGTTCCAGTGGCTCCCCCACAGAACATAGGATACAATACAAAGACCACAGCCTTTCACAATGACTCCAGCTTATCTTTCCAGGCTGATTTTATTTTACTCCCCTTCCCCCCACCCCCAGCCATACTTGCTGTTTCCCCAATCACCATCAGAGAATCCATCTCCTGCCTGTGCCTTCGCCCAAGTTGTCTAAAAGGCTCTCCCCTCCTCACTTCCAGCTCTTGGAACCCCTAGCTCCCTTCAATGTTCAGCTCAATTATCACCTCCTTCAAGAGGCTTTTCAGGATTGCCCACTGTCACCCTCCCCCCCCATCCCAGTGGATTCTATATGTATCCTAGGTTTACTTATCTGTAAACAAGTTGTCTCCTCCAACAGAACAAACTGGGGAGAAAAGGGTGGAAAACTGTCTTGATCTTGTGTTTGCCTCCCAGTACAACCGCAGGCACGTAGTAAGTACTTAAACATATTTATTAATTTATTTTATTCCAACACATTCGGATTTTTATAACTAAAGTCAAACTATCAATGTTTCACTTCCTCCCCCCAACCTTTTGAACTCAATTTCAAAGTTGAAAGTAGAAACACAGACCACAGTTAAATCAATAGAATATTCGACAAACTACTCAACAGCAGAGGAAAGAGAATACTCATTTAAAAGATTACTTTTTAAAATTCTATACTTTGCCTATTTTCTGCCCTTTTAAAGGACTTTTAACTTATTTCACCTTGGGTAACTGAAGCAGTCCTTTAAAATTTAACATACTAGAACTAGAAAAAGTTTTAAAATCTAGTCTAAGCCTCTCTCCTCTTTCTACTACTTCAATAATAAAAACTAGCATTTATATAGCACTTTGAGGTTTGTAAAGTGTTTTACTAATAGTAAGTATTTCACTTTATCCTCACCAGGCAGATGCTATTATTAGTCCCATTCTACAGATGAGGAAACTGAGGCGCAGAACTGTGACTTGCCCAGGTCACAGTGTCGGAGGCCACATCTGAACTCAGTCCTTCCTAACTCCATATCTACTTGACTACCTAGTTTACCTGGTGACCCAAAGGAGGAAACAAGGTTGGCAAACAGACTGAGACCTATACCGTGCTTCCAACATCTCACTGCTAGGCTCGATTGAAACAAACTAAATTAGTAATAATAGCTTAGATTTACATAAAAAGCATTCACAACAACCCCAGAAGCATTTTACAGAGGAGGAAAATGGGGCTCAGGACATAAGTCTTCTAATTCTAGTTCTCGGTTCATTTCACTTTACAAGCCTAAGACCCAGTAAAAACATTTCACATTGTTCATAACCTAAGAAAGCTGATTTCATAAAGTTCCATTCACATCAGTACTTATAGTTCAGACATTAATACTAAAACATGTCATTTGCTTCCGAGGCAGAATTTAATAGGTTATTAAACTTTGGAATAATTATATATACAATTAGCATATTATTCAAAAGCAGAACACTACTTATTAAAATCTGAAATAGTTACACCTACAATTTACACCTAACTAAATACTTAAAACTTGTTTTTCCATAGTAAACTTTCAAAATCAGAACATCATGAAAAAATTTACACACTTACACATATGGTACTACTGTTTAGTTACCAACCAACTTCACGGCTGTCCGAAAAGCAAATTCCATTCACTAAACCACATCAGACGCCTACTACGTGCGTGGTACTGTTGCCAGGTGCCAGGAACACAAAGCCCAAAGTCCCGACTGAGCCCACACTTTCACATACTACTACACTCAAGTCAACAAAGCACCAACAACTTAGCTCCTTTAAATTGTAAGGCAGATGAAGACTATTAAGAAAGGAGTGACCTTTTCTTCCTTCCTTTCCCCAAAACCATTACTTTATGGTTTCCTTAAAACTCGGAGAATTCAAAGTCCACCTTGCAATCCCTGACTGATCTACAGCAATAAAGCTAAATAAAAGCGAGTGTCCAAAAGCAAAGCAGAAGCTGTTTGTTTTTAAGGCACCTACATGGCAGAGAATGTTACGCCAGGTGAAGGAGTGGCTCATACCCCGACTTTCACAGGGAATGTATCCCCCACACTGACTTCCTTGGCGACAGAGGGAATCCAAAGCGGGTCCTCGGCTCTCCTCCGGCAGGACAGAAAGGAGTCCCCAGCTGGGAGCTAGGGAGAGCCACGGAGAGCCGAGCTGGGCGCCGCTGGGGGCAGACGGGGGCTGTCCCCTACCTACATAGAGAGGACCCAGGGGAGGCGCAGCGTCCAAGTTTTTACCCAGAGGGACAAAGGCAGGGAGCTCCGGGCGCTGGGTCGGTCCTGCCCACCCTCCCGCGGTTAGGTCCCCAATTGGACAGCTACAGGGCCTGGGTGCGGGCCGGGGCCTGGGAAGGGGGAGGGGGTCCGGCCTCCCCGGCTCCTCACCCCCCCCCCGCCCTACCGCCCGCCCCTCCTCGCGCTCCCGCCCGCGGATAACCTGTGGAGGGAGCTCTCCTAACGCCACACACCCCCCGACTCCGCCTCTTACCTCCGCCGCCGCCGACCCCCGCCTCCTCCCGAGGGCCGCCGACTCCACCACGCCGTGGGCTCCGGCGGCCCTTAAGGTACCGGATCCAGAACTAGAAACTACCGACCCCTCCGCGGCGCTGACCGAAGAACGGCAGCCTTCTCCTCCCGTCGCTCGCCGTCGCGGCCGCCAGGAACTCCACCCTAAGACCGCGCGAGACCACCCCCCCCTTTCCACGCCCGCCTCCGACGTCCTGCGGGGCGCGCGCACGCACGCGCGCCACCGGAGCCCGGGCAGAGCGCGAGCGCACATTCCTCAACCCCCCCCTGCCCTTCCCTCGGAGCTCGCGCCAGATCCCGGGGCTGCGGCCAGCGTAGCGGCGATGCCGGTTGGGGGTGGGGATGGGAGTGAGGGGGGGGAGGACCACGGGAAGGAACGCCCGCTATTGGTCCGTTCTTTGGTCACAGGGAGAGCGGGGCGGGGGGAAGCAGGTAGCGCGCGCTCTCCCGCACTCTACCCGGAAACAGCGGAGTGGTGGGAGGAGGTGAGGGAAGGGAATGGCTCGGTGGAGGTGTGAAGACCACCTTCCACCCAGCCACTCCCCTTTGGGGAGCACGAGTGGGAACCGTGGAGAGTAAAGAGATTAGGAAGGCGGTGGCTGCTGGAGAGCAGCCGCTACTCTCTTCACGTCATTCACGGGAACGAGCGACCCCCACCCCACCCCCTGAGCCCCTGACTAGGAGCCCCTGCATGATGAGGCTGAGCAGCTCCTGCGCTAAGTGTGAGCAGAGGCGGGTGGGGGCAGAGACTGAGCTCCAGGGCCTTGCTTTACGTGGATGCCCGAGCTGCTGGTATTCGCTTTCACGTTTTTTATTTATTGTTTACCATTTTATTTTTAATAAGTAATAATAGCTTCTTTAAATGGCGCTTTACAAATATTATCTCATCAGCACAGCAGTACTGGTGCTATTGTTATCCCCGTTTTACAGATGAAGAAACAAGAAAATAGAGGCTAAGTGATTTATAACTATTAAGTTTCTGAGGCAAGATTTAATAGGCTGATGTTTAAGATGTTTATTGGGTGCTGACAAGGGAACTGACTCCTGACACCAAATCCAGTATTCCTAGATTTTTCTGGGAGAGGGAATCAGTGTATCCCCAAAATAATAATAATAGTAGCTAACATTTTATATGGTGTTTTAAGATTTTACAAAATTCTTTACATAGCATTTTATTTGACTTACACAATATTAGGAGGTAGGTGCTCTTATCCTCATTTTACAAATTAGGAGACTGAGAAAAGTTAGGTGACTGGCCCAGGCAGGATTCCTTATTCATTTGTTCTCTGAAATTGAACCTATCCTTCTTTGATATAGGTTGCAGGTGAGTGATGCAGGTCATCCAGCAAAATCAGGTGCAAATCAACTAAGGAAGAAAGGCTGTGCATTAAAAGACTGAGAGGCCATTAATAACTACACACAGATATAAAGTTATATTATCTATCTCTATTTCCATATATCTGTTGTGTACATTATACACGTATTTATATATGTATATCTATAGTTACTAACTTGGTTACTATATATATGTATTGTAGATATATATCATTTATACTATATATATATGTGTATATATATATACACACACACACACACACACACACATATATATATATATATATATTTCTCATCTGTATTATATGTATAAAGGGTATCCCAAAAGTCTTATTGCAGTCTCAACAGCTTAAGACTTCTCTGGGGGCAGCTAGGTGGCTCAGTGAATAGAGCACCCGCCCTGAAGTCAGGAGGACCTGAGTTCAAATCTGGCCTCAGACCAAACACTTGACACATACTAGCTGTGTGACCTTGAGCAAGTCACTTAACCCCAATTGCCTAAAAAAAAAAAGGACTTCACTAAGACATTTGAAACACCCTGTATATAGTGTGTGTGGGGTGTGTGTGCTGCAGATGCTAAGCCTTTTATTTGCCATGATCCTTTCTTTTGGTTTTTGGTCCAGACTTGTTTTCATTGCTATGGGAAATTTTCATTTTCTGTGAGAAAACTTCTACCAAATACAGATTGGCAACTGTTCTGAAATTTATTGTCTTACCAAGCGCTGTGAGAGTTGCCTGGGATATCTAAAAGATTAAGTGATTTGACCAGGCTCACACTTGTCCTTTATGCCAGAGATGGCACTTGGACACAGACCTTCCAACTGCTAAGCACGCCCTCCATCCAGTCTACCAGGACCTCTCTAAAAACATCTTTCATTTACGTTATATCACCTTACTTGAAAAAAAGTAAATTTATACCAATAGCTCATATTTATGTAAAGAGTATTTACAAAAACTTCGTGAGGCAGTCTGGATATTATTTCCATTTTTCAGAGGAAGAAAATTAGGCTTAGAGACGTTAAGGATTTTGCCGATATCAAGTAGGGTAGAGCTAGGGTATATGACATCTGATAAAGCAATGCTTAGATTTCACCTTGTAGTCCCAATAAAAGATCCAGTAAGATCATTATAAACTGTTCATAACCTAGAAAACCTTATTCAGTAAGTTATCATTGCCTGTCTGAACAAGTTGTGGTATTTGAATGTAATGGAATACTGTTGTGCTATAAGAAATGATGAACAGGCAGACTTCAGAAAAACCTGGGAAGACTTATATGAACTGATGCTGAGTGAAGTAAGCAGAACCAGAACATTGTACACAGTTAACAGCCGCATTATGTGATGACTAGCTTTCGTAGACTTGTCTCTTCTCAAGGATCCAAAGCAGCTCCAAAAGACTCATGATGGAAAATGCTGTCCACATCCAGAAAAAAGAATTGTAGAATCTGAATGCAGATCAAAGCATATTATTTGCCCTCTCTTATTTTTTTTTGTCTCTTCTTTCTTGTGTTTCCTCCCGTTGGTTCTAATTCTTCTTTATAACATGACTGATGTGAAAATAGGTTTAATATGAATGTAGATGTAGAGCCTATATCAAATTGCATGCCATCATGGAGTGGAGGGAAGGGAGGGATGGGGAGAAAATTCAGAACTTAAAATCTTACGGAAGTGAATGTTGAAAACTAAAATAAATAAATCTTAAAAAAATAAGTTCTGATTGCCATCAGGATTAAGATATCTTTGTGGACTCAAATTTCATGCAACTTACCAGGTAAGATGTTAACTGATTTGTCAGGTATTGTTGACTTTGCTGTATGCATATCTTCCAAAATAAAATTTTCCTGCAACTTAGTTTTTTGGGTTTTTTTTAAGATATGCTACCCATCTATACCACATGTAACATCTTTGGTTTTCCTTTTTAGTGTTTTTGAATGTTTTGTGGTTGGTTATTCTTATTTAAACCTTTATAAGTCTAACTAAGAATACTGATGTAGTCCCTTGCTTCGCTGTTTCTTGGTGTGAGCAAGGGCCTGGTTTGAGTTAGTTGTGATTGGGCAGCCTGGCTACTTCAAAATTTGTGTTATGTAAATTAGGGTCATCATATTTATATTTAAAACCAAAAGTTAAGCTATTTAGAAAAAAAATTGTGAAAAGCCTAGTAGAGCAAATAATAGAATTATACCTCAAAAGTTATTAGCTATTATTTATTGAATCAGTTACATTAATGATAACTTTATATGTAATCACTGCTATATGATATAATGTAGCCACTCATTCCCTGTCATTTTTCAAAATTCTGCCTTCCTATTCATAGTTGTAGGTAAGGTGAATTTTAGTGTATGTAAGGAGGATTTTTTTATTCCTCTTTAGATAATAGTCCAGGATCCTAGATAATATTTCCCACGAATTTTGGTTGAAAACAGCTTTTACCACAAAGTCACAGTAGAGATATAGGAGTGTCATAATGTATACCTGTGTTGTGTTAGGTCATGACAACATTGCTAAAGTTAACCTATGAGGCTACTGTTGGCAATATGCCTCCTTTGTCTGTTGCCCTATAAAGCAAGTGGGCACTGGTCAGTAAGGAGGGATTTTGGGATTTGGGTAATGCATAGAGGAATGCATGTACATGCCTTAATCGGCCCCTATCAAGGTTTGGGGGGAAATCTGTGAACTTGCCTCAACAAAAACTGTAACATACATCTGGACCCCAGTGAGATTTAGGGGAGTGGTAGAGGTCATAGTTCCTACCATTCTTGGCCGCCCCTTCATTTATCAGCATTATCAGCAATCCTTTTGAGAAGGCTAGACTAGAATAAAGTAAGCTTATTTAATCCCTCAGAAGCTGTGTTCCTATCAAAAGTGAACCTGTGCTAGAATGCCTGTTGGAGTTAGGAGCCCGTCTGTGTTCTCCTGCCCAGCAAATGATGTTACCTGTGTGTTTACCTGTGAAACAATAGCCTTTAGCCAAGTGGCCTTTAGCTCCGTTTACCACTTCAGTTGGCTCAAGAGCTACTTTTCCACCCGTACTGCACAGACACATCTGATCCCTGGGGGCAGCAGCTACACCCTTCCTCCCCGCTGCACCCCAGAGTAGCCCTGAGGGGTTGGAGTGTGTCTTTTCTACTATTTTAGCTCTCAGGACTGGACCCATGTTCTTACTCCCATGGTTATCAGTTAATATCAGTTCACTAGCCATACTTAATTAGCTGTTAGGAACAGATAGCTACTATGGCGGCATAGTTGATGCATTTGGTACAAAACATGCTCCCCAAACCTAGCCTCCTAGTCTGTACCACAATTGTCCGGTAGTGCATGCAGAGTCCATGGGAAAGAGGACACAAAGTTACAGCTTTGACCTGTGTCAAAGGGGATAATTCACAGTTCCTAGAAGTCCTTTTGTGGAGTACTCATGGAGTTCCTCT